TTTATCTTACAATTTGCCAGGGGGTGAAGTTATTAAGTTTTAGCAGCAGCCATCGATCAAGTTCACAAGTTAACACGATAAAGGCTCTGAGCCGCTCCGATCCAGGAAAATGATGATCCTCACTCGGTAATTAACTAAATGAGAAAGTTAAATCTTACTTGAGAGCTGGGAGAGATGAAAGAGAGGTGTTTGTCAGTTTCTCAGTGGAAATTAGAAGCAGTTTTCTGCAATTCCCTAAGCTGCTGCTCTGTCATATTTTACATAAGCACTGGGAAAACGTCTTGTAATTAGTGCTGTCATGGAGGATTTTTTTTTGCTGAAGGATGTTGGAATAATTCATTAGATTATCAAGAAAGGCTTGTGTCCTGAAATGATTAGCACAGTGAAATTTAAACCATTAACGATAACAAGTTTAGCGCTTGCTGCAGTGCAGAGGCACCCGGGGTATGTCTGTGCCTATTTCAATCATTTCTTATAATTAAACATTATGTCCTTTTTTTTCCCCTCCACTTCAGTAGGACCCATCCAAAAACCCTGTTAAGGTGGCTCCGTCTAGATCCACGCCTTTCCCAGCACAGGTGGTACACATAGCTAGGAGTAAAAAGGTGCAACTGCAGAAAAACAAGGCAAAGTATTTGAGTTTGAGAATCGAAGGGCCCGTGACCCCGGAGGCTCTTTGGTGCCCGTGGACGTGACTAGGTTGGAGCTGGAATATCACTGAATGCCTTTCCCTCCTCCCCTTTGGCTGAAGAGAAACTCAAGTGAGAAACTTGCAGCATTGTTTGATTTTTCTCCGAACCTTTTTAGAGCTTCACATACCGAAGGTGCCTTTCTTGTAGAGCCAGTTTGGGGGGGGGCGGGGTTGAACTGCCACACTTTGCAAGAGACAGGCCAGTTGCTACTGCGAGACACTTACAGTCTGAGTCAATCTGCACACAACAAGAGCTAGAATGTAGCTTTCCACAGGGAGTAGGGGGAAGCTCTGTACAACCCTTTTCAAAAAAATGGTTGGTGTGGCTGGAAAAGCACAGATGCCCGTAATTGTAACTGAGGGCTGTGCTAGCATTTGAATTTTCCCATACTATAGACCACGGGTGGGCAGGATACGGCCCACAGCGCAAATCCGGCCCACAGCCCCCCCAGCCGCGCCCCCGCCCAGGCCAATCAGATGGGGGAGTGCATGAAGTTATTCGCTGTTCAAAGCAGCTGGCGGCTCTCTCCCCCGCCAGGGGCTCCTGATGCCTAGAGGGAACCACCAGCCATCTTGAACAGCGAATGAGTTCACGCCCTGCCCCCAGGTCCTGATTGGCCCCGGGGCTAGGGGAGTGCACAGAGTCTCCTCCCCTTGCGTGGTGTCTCAAGGGCCCCGCCCCCTTCTGCCTGAGGCCCCGCCCTTCTGCTTGAGGCCCCACCCCTTCTGCAGTGAAGCCGGCCAAGGGCCATGTATCAAAAGTGAAGCAGCCCCCTCGCAAAAAAGATTGCGCCCCTGCCCCCGCTGTAGACATACCTGTAAGCTCCATCTCTACAACAAAAATAACCTATATTATTATGTGTGTGGTCCAGCCATGTTATAGCATGGTTATTTTTGTTTAATTCAGACGTTTAGACTTATCCAGCCTTTGTTAATCCATACTGCTCCTTCTTGTAGCCATAGGCTATTATTTAGACCTGGTGGGCAAACCTTTTGGCCTGAGTGCCAAATCTGAGTAGGCAAATTATAAATGCTCATTGGCCTGACCTCCTTCCAGTAGCAGATTAGCCACTGGGCCAAAAGGGTATGCCCAGGGGCCCCAGCCGGTCGGGAAACCCCAGAAAAATGGCTTCTCCTACACCACTACCAGCGCTGAACCACAGGGAGTGGCAGGTGGGTGGGCCATGCCCTCACCCCACTCTCCAGCTGGAGGCCCAGAGCTGGACGAAAAGGCCCGGTGGGACGGATGCGCGCAGGCCAGAGGTTACCCAACTCGGATTTAGAGTTAGGGTCCTTTCTTGTATTAGTTCTCTCCTACCTCCCCGTACATACAAATACATTAACTATAGCCCCTCAGGAAAATGGCCTTGTTGTTGTTTGCAGTGTTATAGTGGCCATGTTTGTTGCAGGATATATGAGAGATGGGGAGGGACCATCTTCAGTTGGTGAGAGAGACAAGCTTTCGAGCTCCACAGGGCTCTTCTTCAGGCCTGCATATGGCTCCGTTTCTTCAGACCTGAAGAAGAGCTTGTAATTCCAGACAGCTTCCTAAAGCGATCTGTTCAGTGCCAGGATGTCTGAGTAGAACTGACGGATCGCCTTCGCCATCCCGAGTCTTGTGTTCAGTGCTCGTCAGCCCATCTCAAAAATGGTATCGCTGAAGCAGACCTCTGAAAGTGCCCGTCACAGACGCTCCACGTCCCACCAAAATGATGGTGGCACCTAGAGTCTCCAGGAACATGCCTCCACATTAGAACCTGGGACAGAAGACGACAAAAAGTGGGACTCTTATCTGTTCCACTTGGGCTACGCTTAGCCACTTTCCCATGCTCCTTCTTTGGCTGCTTGTGGGTCCTGTTGTCTGTGGTTACTTTTGATAGTGAGGCCAGTAATACATCTTCATCCCCAGAAACAGCAGAGCGCTCTGGGCTGAAAACCTTTTGGGGGGTACATGTGTGTGAATATTTAACATCATTTTGGTCTCTGTATGTCTGACAGGGCTGTCTCTTCTGGAGGGGCTTCTTGAGGGTGGCAGAGAAAGGGCTTTTAGTGCTTCAGCAAATAGTGACTGTTGTCACTGAAAGGAAGAAACAAAAGGCAGAAGATACAGCTTTAAAAGCACGCTCTATGGAGAGAGCCTGCTGTAAGATTGGCTGTGCAGCAAATGAAATGAGAAATGAAATGAGGTCAGGCTTGTAAAATACACCATTTGTCAACTATCTACAGCATTTCATGGGTTTTTCTGTTTTGCAAACAGCTAAACTGCAGTAAAAACAGCCAGAGTCCCTCAAGGCTGATGTTCAGTACAGTCCATCCTTAATCTTTGTATGCCATGCCGTTGCCAGGAAAAATCCAACCTTTCCCACCACCCGTGCCTCTGAGATGTCTGCATTCAGTGTGTAAACAGATAGCCCAGCAGAGCGTGTCGTTCTCCTGCCTCCACATATCCACTGATGGGACAGTATTAGCTGCGTGAGGAGTGAACATGAGACTGCAGTACAAGAATTTTATATTCTGCCATTGGTTTTCAGCTCTGTCACCAGCTCTTGCCTATCTTTGACGTATCCTTACAGAATGGTCCCGGAAACATTCCCCAGTATTTGGGGACTCTCGGCTCCGTTTTGAGGGGCATGGGGAGGGAAACAAAAGGAGTATTGTGGACCAGCTTGCTCGTGATGCAAAGCTGAGCAAGGATACAGTCTGATATTCTTGTACACTCGTCTCAGAAAATCGAGAGAGAGTTCAACCCGTAATACAGAACCAGAATATACTTTGTTAAAATGGCTGCTACCTACCAGGGAAGGTTTGCAAGCAAATCTATCCAGCCATCTCTGTTAGAGACGCTGGCAAGTCAGTTAGGTGCAACATATAAGTTCTGGTGTCTTGTGTATTAATATATAGAAAACAAATGGTGACAAATTAAGTAGATTTTCAAGCAATGTCACTTTTGATAACCCAAGGCAGGGTGACACAGGTAATGATTTTAGGTGGACAGGACAGCGTGATCCGGAGGACGGGCTAGGAGTTGCTGAGTTCTTGTCCCAGCTTTGACAGGCACTTTCTATAACCTTTTAGCAAATCACTTAACATTGATGCTTCCTCCCAGTAAACAGATAATGCATGTCTTCCTCTCAAGTAAGAACTAAATGTAGAGTTATTTTCTTTAGATTGATGAAAATGATATATATTGTATTAATGCACACAGTGGTTTACCAAGTAAGTGAAACTGAACTACGACACCATAAAAATATAACTTGTATTAATTATGAGAGGTGCAGTTTGGTTTTAATTGTTTGATAATTCATAATGCGCTAGCAAATGTAGACTAGAGTGTTTTTATAAAAGAAATGATCTAATAATGTGAATTGTCATTAAATTGCCATCTGTTATTAAAGCTTTGCTCTGGTGTAGGGCTAGACACCAGACCGGTGTGCTTTGTTTTAGATTATTCTTTTAAAAAAAAAAAAGTTTGGGGAAATAGAATCCTAAAAATAAACAGACATTTCCTTAGTTTAGTATTTAATAAAACCTATTTAGTAACCAGCATGGGAAAACATAGATTTCCCAGTTGACAGCTAATTTAGCTTGGGATGTGCTCTTGGTGTGATACTTGTGCTTTTCTTCCAATTAAATCATTAAAAACAAAACTTCCACACATTTTGCTTGTAGTGATAGAGTGAAGAGACTGTTTTCTCCTGTCCCTGAGAGCCCTTCTCCAGAATCAGACTATGTCGAGACCTGCTGGCAAAATATTAACAGCGACTATAAAGTTTAGTATTTGATTCTTTGCATGAAATGCGGATGAGCACCAGATGTTGGGGTGGTGTTTTAATAGATTTTACTGTATATTTTGTGTATTATTAAAATGATCATCATGCAGTTTCTTATCCATCTCATGTATTTTCTATTAATTTTAGCAGCAGTCCATTGTAGCCCTGAAGCGAATACTTTAGAAGAGAAACAAAATACAAATTCAGTCTTCCGTGGTGCATTGAAGTAGCTGATAATGGCAAATTAGGAATCTGTCAGCATTTTACTGTGTGTAAAATGTAACTAAAATTTGTTTGTATTAAACTGCCACTCTTGTTCTCCCATCTAACCATAGTCCTTTGTGTGCAGCTCCGGCATGAACTGTACTGTCCTCCAAGGTTACAAGTTTTTGTGGCCACTTGCAGATTGACAGCAGCAAATGGGATACACAAACACGGCCAACTTATTATAGAATGGAATGGTTTTCTGTCTGTTGTCTTCCAAGAAACCGATTACATTGCCCAAGCTTTATTTCATTGTTTTCTTCTTTCCATTCAAGACAAAACTTGCCAATGGCACTTCAAGCATGATTGTGCCCAAACAAAGGAAGCTGTCCGCAAGCTATGAGAAAGAGAAGGAGCTGTGCATCAAGTATTTTGAACAGTGGTCCGAGTCCGACCAGGTTGAGTTTGTGGAACATCTCATCTCCCAGATGTGTCATTACCAGCACGGACATATCAACTCGTACCTCAAGCCTATGTTACAGAGGGACTTCATCACTGCACTGCCAGGTATTTCAACCCCATTGGAGGGAAGGCCCTTCCGTGTTGTCCTTGAAAGCTATGGCGTGAGGCTTCCTGTGACAGTGCACCTCCCCGGAGAGGTGCACCCCTCAGGGAGAAGTTCCACAAAGTAGATAACAGCAGGGGGTGAGAGGCGTTCTAGACATGCACAATAGTTGTAATATTTAATACTTCTATGCTTTTGATTGAAACAAATGGAAGATCTTACCAAATGTCATGGGCACATGTCACAGAAAACCCAGCACCCGGTTGTCGGGAGGACAGTAACTGAATAACAGAATTGTTAAAATTGAAGCTACCTTTTATCGCCTCTGCTTTTTCCCTTGGATTTTTTTTAACTTCTTTCATTAAGAATTTTGACCATTTTTATGAATACAATACTTTCCTGTAGCCATTGATTTGAAAGGTCTATTAATGACCTACATTGAACAACATATCAGGATAAAGAGTGGATGGACCATATTCATATTTTGCACTTCCGTAGCGCTTTTCATCGGAGGACACTGGCCTCAGCTGCATGTTTAGATACTATAGTTAATGAGGGTCGCAGAAGTACCAAAGTACGAAGCAGTGAACAAACACTCCTGTCAGTACTTCTGTGGGGAAACTGAGTCACAAGGCGGTAAGTGACTTGTCCAAGGTTATCCAGCAAGACGCTTTCCAAACCAGTTTTGGAAATCTGGCTCTTAACCCCATTCTCAGGCCATTCGACCTCATCCCCCATAGAAGGAGAACAGTTAGTGTATTATGATCGAAATGGCTTGGTTCCTGAATCTGATGGAATTAAGTAAAATGTGTTGCAGTCTTTGTTGATAACTCTGACCGCTTTGTGGAAGAGAAAATTGTTTGGAGGATTTCTCTCACGGATTGTTTATTCTTCACAGACCTTTGAAGAGCTTCTCAATTCCTACGTGCACCTTCTTTCCAAGCACTAGACTTAGAATGGGCAAGTTCCACAGAGCACTTCACTTCTAGGGCTGGGGGAGAGGACATGTTTGTTAATGCGGCTCTTATAAGGAACAAAGCCATCATGGGAATGGTAGTAAGAATTTCCCAGGATTGTATGAGCTATAACTCTGCCTCATAATCAATGGCTGTGGTAGATCTTGGAAACCGTCTTTGCTGTACTAAGTGTGTTTTTGTGGTGGTCCAGTTTTTCTAGAGGTCCAGTGCCAATAATCTCATGGACCAGAGCAGCATTCTAAGGTGTGGGAGTCTTCTACACTAGGTGTGAAGGAACTGGAGAGTTTGGGGTGGCTCTGTTCTTGAGTAGCCAGGGAAGGCAAATGGCCACATGGCATGAGTACCTCTCGTGTGGATACTTCTAGGCAAAGTTCTCCAACTTCATGAAACAGATCTACCATCAAACGTCACTCTGAGTAGTACTGAACAGGCAAGAAGTAGGTAGCAATTACTCAGTTATTTACATAAGCAGGCAGTGGCATATGTTCACTTAAATAATGTATGCGCATTAATTTGCGTGTTTGCAGAGTTTATCCCAGGGGGCATGTAGGTCCAGTCTGAACCGTGCACAAGCAGAAATGTCACATGTAGAAGAAGGTTTCCAGTAAGGAGAATGGGAGATGAGACGCCAGGTAAGGAGGCAGAAGGCCGTCCGAGATAGAATTGTGTTCATCTGTGAGCAGCTCACAAGGAACGTGGTGACTCTCCTTTTCAGATACGTTTTAAAAATGTTTAAATAATTAAGGAAATTTTCAGAAGAAAACATGACTAATCTGGAATTATGAATCTATCACCTCAACTACAAAGAACCCACCAGAATGTTTTGTAGCTTTCTCACAAATGTGCATGTTAAAAACTGGAAATTAAGTTCAAGCTCCACTTCGTCTCTTTCATCCCCTTTCCCTCACCACACACACAAAATAATCTCCATTACCGTGTAAGTGGGCAAATTCTCATTCAGGTTCACCACCACCTTTTCTGCCCACATACCACTCCCCCTTATCCATCAGTCAGACACAGTTATTAAATTGTTTGATTGTTCTCTTGGTGCTGTGAAGGTCAGAGTTAAGGTTGTTTGAGTAATTTTTTACTATGAATGTATTAGTGTAGTTTTGTTCAGATTTTGAAAAAGTGAAGTCACAACTTGGAATTTCCTGATTGTTTAGAGAATATATGTTCTTTTTGGGAGGGAACGTGAATTTTTTTGCCTTGGGTTTTTGTGTCTGTAGTAAGCAAAAGATTCTTTCAACTTCAGGGAAACAAAACTTTTCTGCTTAGGACTATACTGTAAAACCAGTACTTTATTGAAAGATAACTTGATGTGAAAGAGTAGACATCTAACGTAATTCATGTTAATTTACTATAAGTTTTGGTGTAGGAACATGTCCATTTTTAAGTAGCTTCCCTAAAGAAAAAATGCCCTAAAATTTATACTATAAATGAATTATGCTTTTTCTTGGAAGCAAATTATAAAATTGGATTTGTAACCATGCCTCATGTTAAAATAGATTTCATTTGTAGCAGAGGCAGGCGGAGGCGGGGCGGGTTATATGATGGCAGTCTTCTCTGACAGTGGCCAATTTTCTCGCTTCTGAGAATGGTCTAAGTTATTTGAACTGGACTGACTACACTGAAAACTTTTTTAACCGGCGTGCTGGGAGGAGGTGGGAGGGGATGGTAAAGTAAAAATGCCAGCAGGTAATGAAGAGGAAGGAGAGTATAGGGGAAGTGCGTGGGAGGATGTTGAGGGTGCAGGACGGGCTCTGGGTGCCAGACAGAGGGTGGGTGCTCACCTCCGCTGACCCTTACAAGCAGCTCCCTGTCTCGGCTGTTGCTGGTAGAGCCATGGCCAGATGGCTCTGCTGCAAGCAGGCACATCGCTTCTGTCTGTTAGCACCGCCCCCTGCAGCTCCCGTTGGCTACTGTTCCTGGCCAATCAGCTGGGAGCCGTGGCGTCAGTGCTCAGGGTGGGGAACAGAGGCAGTGTGCCTGCCGTGCCTCCGCCAGCAACAGCGGAGCCTGAACACCTCCCTACACCCACAGCACCGCCCAAACTCCCTCCCAGGGCATGCCCCTCCCACTCCTCAGCCTGCTGCCGGCCCTCCACCAACCATCCTATAAATTGGACTTTCTGTGCAGGACAGAAATGCTGGTTTACTGAGTGTGCCAGTTCCCAAGTGCCAGATAAAAGGGCTTTTCCTGTCTTGGATGAAAATACCATGTATCACAGCAATGCCCATTAAACACCAACTAACGATGGCTCCATTTGGGGCCTGTGAGGCAGGGGGCCAATGAGAGGGATAATTGGTGAGGACTGGTTAGGAATCGGCAAACCGAACTTCTACAGTGTAGGTCCGTTTCTTGCTGTCCTTTCTCCTTCCCCTTGCCTCGTGCAGAATTCCGATGGAACTCAGAATATTCACCTGAAAATCATCATTTTAGAGTCCCAGGGCGGGCAGAGCTCTCAGGAGTCATCAAGTCCAGCCCCCCCCCCGCCCAGAGCAGGACCCCCCCCCCTTCC